AACCCAAACCAGTCTGGGATTCTATCATTAAAGGACACATAAAACACACATCAGGGTGGGAAAGAACCAGAGGGAGATGCAAACCCAAGATGTTCAAGTTACCTTTAGTGCAAGTAAGTCGCTTTCCAAGCTGTGCCCTATCAGTACGGTATCTGCACTGAACATGTTCAGGAGGACGGCTTGGACATCCCGCAGGGTGATACTCGTGTTCTCCAGGTCTTCTTCTGTCACACCTGAGAATCTGCAGAGCAACAGCAGAAAGAAGGGCTTCTTTCACTAAAGGAACACCTCAAGGCCCAAAGAGTCTCAGCCATTAGGAAGTGGTGGTCAAAGGAACTTCAACAAACCCTCCCAGCCATTCCCCCTAAATTGCTGATTCTGAGCACAGAGCTCTCACCCAAGGACCATCATTACCTGGTGTTATAGTCCACCACCTTGGTGTTTGGTTTGACGAAGGTGTCGTATACCACTTTCAGGTCAGAGTTGATCACAGTTACTCTTGTCAGCTCCAGTCCTTGCTTGGTGTAGCACTGCAAGTGACAAGAGCAGACATGAAAGAGTTGGGGTTGTTCAGCCTGGAGAAGAGAAGGCTCCAGAGAGATCTTATAGCGGCCTCCCAGTACCTGAAGGGGCTCCAGGAAGGCTGGGGAAGGACTTTTCATAACAGCAGTTAATGACAAAACAAGGGGAAATGGGTTTAAACTGAAAGAGGGGAGGTTTAGATGAGATAGTAGGAAGAAATTCTTCACTGTGAGGGTGGTGAGACACTGGCCCAGGTTGCCCAAGGAAGCTGTGGATACCCCCTCCCTGGAAGTGTTCTCGGCCAGGTTGGATGAGGCTTTGAGCAACCTGGTCTAGTGGAAGGTGTCCCTGCTGCTGGCAGGGGGGTTGGGACTGGATGAGCTTTAAGGTCCCTTCCAACCCAAACCAGTCTGTGATTCTATGAAGACACACTCATGCCAACCACAGCACGGCATCAACGCAGCCATTCACTAAAGTGCTCTAGATCCCAAAATGCAGCACGTCTAGTGCAGCAAGGCCAGCCAGCAAACTCTGCTCAGTATCTGCCAGCCAGCTACAGCTTTTCAAGGGTGCATGCAGTCCCCACATGAAGCACACATGGCTAAAACTAATTAGTAAGAGCTAATTTAAATGTACAGGACCAATATGAATTAAGAGTCCACAGAAGAGAGGCAAGGAAATGGTAAGGAAGCAGAACTTTCCCTCAGCCTTGTACCACACCCTCAGCTCTCCCCAAAAAGCTTTGTTTCGCCTCTGTTGTTAAGGACCCACCATTTCACAGTCTAAGGCGTAGATTCCAGGGTAGCCATCAGTTGTAGGCAGCTTCTCAAAAGTCTTCACAAAGCCATCAAGGCTCTCCTTTCGCCCATCGTGGACGTGTTGCTTAAAGACAAAAAAAAAAAGACAAAAAAAAAAAGAAAAGGGATTATTGTTGATGGTTGGAGCAAGAATCTAAAAAGTCCACTTCAACAGAACCTCCCACTTGGAGAAAAAGATTTTTTTAATCATTTCTAAAGGTTAATGGGGAATAAGTTTTGCCTACCAGTTGGTCTGAGAAATTCACCACAACAGCAAATGTAGCTGCGTGCAACCCCAACTCCAAAGCCAGACCAGGGCTGGTGGCACCATAGTGACAGCACAAATAGGAGCAAGACATCACACATCTAGGGCCAAGCAGCTTTCACCTTTCAATTCAGAGCAGAATTACTCAGAAAGGGTCACACTGAGGTCTTACACTGCTCTAACTCCAGCTGCTGGTTCCTGGTTCAGCCCAGGTGCAGGGTTCTAATCCCAGACACCCCTGTTTGAGCATTAGCATCAGCGTATCAGAGCCCCTGGACGGCACGGAACCGGTGTAATGAAGTACTAGAAAATGTCAATGTGTGCCTACCAATAAAAGCCACTGTATCCCAAAATGAGAGAGTTTGCAGACAAACCAGAGCTACTGCCTACCAGCACTTGAGGCAATAAACAGAGGGTATTTCCAACCACTCTTCATTATCCCCAGCTAAAGCTCTAGGGTCAACAAGATCCAGCACAGATGGGATCCCCAAGTTCACAGGAAAACTCAGGGAGTGATTTCACAAGTGTCTTAAGCCAATGCAGGACTAAGCCACTGCTGCAACAGGCACTCCCACCCCCCTCTCCCCCACAGCCACAGATCCCACCCCACCTGGTCACCCTGAAAGCCTCCTCTGCAGGGGGAGTTTTAACCTGGATGATCGTGGATCCAGTTACCTGCACGGCTGGGGACGCAGGAACACGCCATCGAGGGCAAGGCAAAGGCTGTGGCTGCCCTTTTGCCCACTAACATGGTTTGAGGTCACATTAAACTGCTGCACCACACCCAGAGGTGACGTTCTCTCTCCCTTATTCCCCGGTGGTTTTTTTAATTTTGTTTTGTTTAAGTTTTGTCTGTCCCCAAATCTCAAGGTATTTGCACAATCACAGCAGCCTGGGTCCAGCCTCCTTCACCGTGTTTCTCACAGATCTCACCCTACAAGGAATCAAACTGGATTTGTCCATCTCAGGACAGAAATGCTGGAGAGATGAGGAACTGAGGCACTTGTACAGCTGAGACAGCTGTGGACTTTTTGGCAGTGGGATGACCAGAGCAAGGATTTGCACATTTTCCTGCACAGGTTATTCCTGCAGGTGCAGCCAGAGTGCAGAGAGCTCCACCAGTTGAAGTTAACGAGGCATTTGGACCAACATGAGAAAATCTCTCCCTGTACCCAAAAGCAGCACTGCTCAAAGGCTGCATTTTTCGTTGCTTCCCAGGAGCAAGAGGCTACACTTGTCCATTCTGCATCTGTGTCTGTGATCTGACTGTTTTGCTAAATAAATAAGTAGAGGAGATTACCAGGCAAACAGATAGCAAACATTTCTCTCCCTTGCAGCTTGATCCCCCCCTCTGTCTGTAATACAACACAACTGGGCAGCGAAGGAAAGAAAAAAATAAATACATTAGGTGTTTTTCTAGCTGATGTTCTGCAACTGTCCAATTCTTCCTTGTTGAGAGGGGGGGTAGAAAAGTTGCTTGTGTTTTTCAGACCACAGAAAGCAGCAGACTCAGTGATCACAAAGAACAGCAGCTTCAGGGGAGCAGTAGGTACAAGCACAGCTCCATCCTGCCATCTCCTGCCACACTGGCTAACTGCAGCATAAGCCAGACAGGCACATCTCAAATGTTATTTGGAAGGGAAAGACTTGTTTTTTCTAACCAGCTACCGATCTAGTTACTTAGAACAGTTTCTGACTACAAATATTTACTGTTTTCAACACCCTCCTTCAAAGCTGAAAGATACTGGGCTCCCCAGTAGCCCAAACATCCCAATATCTCATTGCATATTCTCACCCTGAGCAAGCTGTGGACTCCAACCTTAAATCTACCAAAGGACACTGTGAAACTCGTTCATTTGGATGAGAAAACCCAGAAAGCCAGAACACGGTGATCTGTAGCAGCACAACAACTAGGAGGCAGATGCGAAAGGATGCCTGAGCCCCGGAGCACTGGCGGCATGCTTCATTGAGTAGGAGGCTATTAGAGAGATTGTATCTTTCTTAAAAGGCCATGAGGTTTTATGGTCTATAACAGCCACGCAAAAAATATGCGGAGAAATCATGTTTTTATAGCCCCATCAATTTCTCCTGACTTCCCTGCTGGAGGTTTTTTTGGAAAACTGATTAAAGAGAGATCCTAATTTCATAAGAAAAAGAAACAGGAGAAGCAGCAGCTTTGCCTGATCCCATCCATGCTTCAGGCTGTGCATACAGACAACTCTTCCTATTCTAACAAGCCTTGGATTTTGCTCCAGAATTCACTTCCTAGCTCTAACTTTTGGCCAGAACAAGGGCACACACCTCTCCAGAACCTACAGCCCAGCCTTGCTGGCCCTGCATCGCTCGAGGTCTTTCAAAGAGTGGGATGAGAAGATGCTGTATAACAGACAGGCTCTGGGAGCCCCTTCCACTGGACTGGACCCTTTTAGATCCACCATCACTTGGTTCTGCATCACACTGTTCTCCCCTGCGTGGCAGCTGCCAAATAGAAAAATGCCACTGAAACAAGTGATGAGGAACATCCCCAGAGACCAGGCAAAAAACAGATTGCTCCCTTCAGCTGATGGTTCAGGAGGACCAGTGATGCCAGGCTGAGAAGCCAACTCTCCCACTACTTTAGGAAACAAAAAACCACCTGTGCAAACGTATCCAAGCAGTGTTCAGCTCTATCAAAGGGCCAAAAACTCCATTCCTCAGCAAGTTTTTTGTTCTGCTTTCTAGTGCTGGGATCCCTTCCCCTCATTCTCCTCAAGAGAAGTAATATTTATGAGTTACAACAGGCTTCTTGGGAAGGTTCCTCCCCTTAATACAACAAAGGGCATGCAGGAAACAGAAAACTAAGAAAAGAAAAGAAAAGAAAAGCAGAAAGTTACTGTAGTGTGGGCATCTGGGAAAGAGAAAAATGGGAAAAAGGTTTTGGCACACTGTTGTCAAAGCCCCAAGACTGCTCCGGAACAGGAAATCCCTTATTTCTCACTCCTTCAGTCTTTCCATAAAGAAATCTCTATATGAGCTTTTGCTGGGCAGCTTAATCCACTGGCATTTGCTTAGAACAAATGAAAGCTCCTCACTCCAGACAGCTGAGTCTCCTCCTTCCTGCCAAACACTGAATTTTCCTACCTTTACATAGCAAAGGATATTTAAGAAGTACTTGTTTTACCCCCTTAAAAGAAGCCACCATTCTTCTGAAGGCTTAAGCAACAGTTACACAGCCATCACCTCTGTAAGTAGACAAATGTCATTGAGAATAAAAAAAGTGTTGCTCAATAACTTACTTTAGCAACCTGGCAGCCTGGTGAACCCACAGCTCCTGAACAGCAGCTGTAATGAGTTTCCCATCCACCTGGCACTGAAACAGCAAGAGAGAAAGAGTCAAAGAGAAGAATCCTGTTAACAAAAGACCTAAACTGTAGCTCTCACATGCAGTGATTCCCTGGATGAGCACAGCAAGAATAATGTGTCAAACAAATGGGAAAAATAAGTATGGATTTGCATGCAGCAATCTAAAGAGTTTAAGTCTCTCATACTCAGCCAGACAAACTCCAGAAGCCACCTGGATGCTCTGACAGAAAACCACAGCAGAGCTCAAACTAGGTTAGGGTCTTGCTGCAAATGAATTCAATCAAGACCAGTAGACTCTCCTGGGTTGTGACACATGTCCAGTGCTCCCAAGTCAGCCTCGTAAAAAGACTGATTTTTTCAAAAGGCACAGGAAGGTTTGTTTTTTCTTTTTCTTTTTTAAACTGAAAGCTGAACAACCTCTGCTCCAGCCCCAGTATCATATTTTCAGGACCTGTACCACGCACCTCTTTGCAAGATTATTTCAGCAGCAGCAGGGCCACCCAGTGACAAAACTAGGAACTGTCACAACCTGTGAGCGTGACAAGCCCCAAAAAAGCCACAAAATATTCCACAGCAGCTCAAACCAGAGGCAGATTCTGTGCTTGGAGCTACAGCACAGCTAGTATGTGACTAAGCCCTCGGTGAAGAGAAATACCTCTCTGCTTGCGCAGCCTTCCCCAGTGATGGACACATTCCTCTTTGCGAATGCAGCTTCCAGAGGCTGAGACCATGTACTCAGTGCCACAGCGACAACAAATTCTGCAGGAGGCTTTAAGAGAAGGGAAAAACAAGAGTCAGGTCACTAGAAATCCTTCACCTGTTAAACTTGGCCAAAGGACAAGTAAATCGGGATTATTTGAGCCCCAAACACTAGTGAAACAACTTTTCCTGTTAAAAAGGATTCTAAATGTTGTTTCAAACTCCCATAAAGACACAGCAATCCCTCCAAAAACACAGTCCTGTAGCATCTGGCCCCACAAACATTTCTCAGAGGCAAACATAAGGCTCCCTAGTGTTTTTGGTGCAGGACATCAGCACCAACACAGTTCACATCAACATTTGCTGCCTTGTTTCTCCATCCACAGCACATTACGTTGTACCCTAACACAGTTATTTTAAGAAACAGGATAAATAAGTCATTCTTTGGACATCAGAGCTAATGAAGCCTGGTTTCCAGGGGATCTGTGCCTTGTCACTTCCAAATGACATTCGAGTTTTTCCTGGGCACAGCTTTTCTGTAAGGATTTTCCAACATCTAAAACCAGGAATGCTTACAGCACAGCCTGGCCTGTCGAGGGGGCAGTTAGGGACTCCTCCTTCCTGTCACCTGTGCTTCTACTGCCCACAATTCAGAGAGGGGAGATGCAAAAAGCCAAAGTAAAGGAGTTGACTGTCGTGCTTCTCATCTCCATGCAACTCCCTGAGTTCTAGTGTGAGCACTTAAGCTGCTAGCACATTCCCAGCTCTGCAATAACACCAGTCTAGACCATTTTTGTCCACTGCCCATGGTCACAGCATTAACAGACCAGCAGCAGCTTTAGTTAAATAAGAACAAATTCAAAGATCCCAAAACATCTGCATGAAACTACAGAAACAGAACTAAGAACATGGTCTCAGAATGACATATAGGAGCTGGCTGGTTAACTGGAGAGAAGGGCTCTAACAAATACAGCACTTGACAGTGTTAATGCAAGAGAGCTTTCATACAGGTTGCTTCAGCAACCACGGGACAAACGTAGACACAAGGTGTTAACACGGACGAGCACTTAACACACTTTAGCAAGGTCTCTCCAAAGAGATGCTCAGAGGAGTGTGCCAAGGCACCTCAAAATACATCCTCAGTGTGTGTTTTATCCCTGCTGCACCACAGCCTGCTCTAATCATGGTCTGAGGACCATAAATCCATTCAAAACATTCAGACAGAGGTGAGGACCCCACCCTGTCCTGAGGAAACCTGGGGGATCATTTTGTCCAGATGCAAAAAGGGCTTTTAGGAACTACTTGGCCCAGCACTGTCAAGAGATCAAGCAGAAAACTGGGCAATCTAATCTAGTAAGGCACAACCCACTGCAAAACCAGCCTGGCCCAGTGTTGGTCCATATCCCACCATTAACAGCAGTTCATATGAACAGAGACACAAAAAAATCCTTCCCCTGGAAGAGGGAAGTGGCACCACACGCTGAACAAGAGCCTCTCTCCAACCATCTCCAAGGAGCCTGCCTGCTGCTGTTGCAAGGGAAATGGTTGGAGAGAGGCTCCTGTGCAAAGAACTTGGAGTTAAAACCTGCACTGAGCGAGCAAGTGCAAAACACGTGTCCTCACAGGGGGTGGCCGAAGGTGGCTTCTCCAGGGGGGCAACCTGAATGATGACAATTATCATATTCTTCGTCAGCAGTGAGAAACCTCACCCAGCCTCACAGCCCCACACACCACAGAAGATAAACCTGGTGTCAAAAATAACGTTCTCCTGACACACGAGCTGAAGAAACTCATCCTCTAGAAACCAGTAGACTTCTGCAGCCACACTCCTCTGTCACTGGTTGGCCTGCAGAGGCAGGTCGCAGTCAAGGAGACCCATCACAACAGGAGCAAATAGCTCCACGCTGAGACCCAGAACATCCTAATGCAAAAAAAGCAGTTGCAAGCAGGACAGGCGGCTCCAGCTGTAATGTATCTAGCAAACCTTGCAGAATGAAGGAGCCAGCAGAACTCACAGTCAATCGTTTTCTTCTCCTCTGCAGTGAAGAGGACAGCGCGGCCAGGCTTCTCTGGGTGAGGCATTGGGTAACCATTTTCCTTTAGCTGCTCCTCAGTCATGAGATATTCCTTCAGCCGTCGGTATAAGGCAGCTCCTGTACACAAAGACAGTGCTGAAACCAGATCACTTCAGGAGGAGCTGTTTCTCTTACTATTTTTTGCTTTATCAAGCCTCCTGGCAGGGACTCCCGCTGTTCTGAACTTGCTGCCACTGCCTTGGTTCAGGATTGACAGGGATACAGGTGTTGGGACAGTATTTTTAAAATCTGGTCACTGGTGCACAAGATTTAATCTCTTCAACAACCAGCATTCAGTTTGGAAAACACAGCTGAAACACTATTCCTCCAAAGGGCCCATCCATCTTCAGGCCTTTTTGTTACCAAGGTGAGACTTTTCTCACTTTAATGCTTGAAAAACTGTAACTGATAATTTGGAACACAGCCCACAGAATACCCCTCAAACACCAACCACAGCTAACACAAAATTCGTTAGCAGCAGCTTTCTTCCTGCTCTCGATTTCAGGCTGCTCATTTCATTTCACAGAATAATTATAACTTCTTGCACTCTGTTCAATATCTATTCTTCTGCTGCTACGTTAAACCCTTCCAATATTGCTGTGGACCCTTTGATGTTGCTTAGCTGAGCTATCCAGGCCCTTTTAAGCTTTCTCCATGTCAATTCCTTCTGCTTCGTGGCTTCCCTGTCTCTTCTCTGATCTCCTCAACAATTTGCCTACATCTCTTGGCAACCAAAATACCCATAACTGATTTGAGCCAACATGAATAATGCTTGTGGCACAACCCTTTGGCTACAATATGACCTTACTATGACATTTGTAAATGTGAAATCGAGCCCCGCAGAGCAGATGGAGATATTTGTAAGTTTGCCTTTTAATCTGACAGGCACATTGTAAAATAACTGCTTCAGGGTAAGAAAGTTAAAGGAAAATCCAGATAGAAATAAAAGCCTGAAAGTCAGTAATACCCAAAACACAAGAGGCAGCTTGGAACAGTTACTGATGCTACATCAAAGCCAGGCAGACTGCAACACTGAACTGACAGCCCAAAGCAGGGAAGGAAGGAAGGAAGGAAGGCGCTGATCAGAGCGCTGCACCCTTCACCGAGCGGCTCCGCAGCGCTGGGCTTATAACAACTGATAACACTGGCCCACAGATAAATCACAGCATTTCATGCTCAGCCAGCTCCTGCTCTCCTCACTCACACCATTATACCTCCAGCTGTAATTTACAGGTTCCAGCCTCGCAGGAGCAGGGTCTTACCTGTTAAATCTTCTGCTCTCAAGCTCCCTGAGCGGTTTAGAGTAAAGCTTGTCTTCGCAGCAAGCTTCCCTCCCAGGACAGCTTCGTGGGACACCACTTTCTTGTTACTTGTCTCTGCAGCGAGAAGAGGGAAGAAGGAAAACAGGACAGACATGAGATACCCAGCTGAGTAAGAGTAAGTGACCTCAGTCCTAGAGTCTGGGCGCTACACATCAGCACAAGGAGGATTGTGCTCATCCTCGTGAACTCTTGCTCTGCTCCAGAAATCGGCACGTGTCAGGCAGTGTCAGGCCCAGCACGGATCCCAGCACTATGGAGAACTTTCTGTTTGCACTGTTAGCCCATAGCAACTTTTTTTTAAGGGCAGCAAAGGCCATTTTTTACAGTTTCCCTGGAAACTCTGGTAGCTCTACTTGCTTACTCTGCACAGCAAAGCCCTCTACCTGACCAAAAGCAAGAGAGGACTAAGCACAGAAAAACACCTTGAGCCAGTGATGTGCTGCACGGTGGCATCACCCACCCACGGTGAGCAGCTTTGTTGTTAGGTCCCTGCAGACCAGACTCCCGTGCTGAATCTTTCAACTTCTTTTAGAAAGGAGCTTCAGAGTTCTAGAATATGCTCAGCACATTAGATAATGGCAGATAGGTGCTTTTTACTAATCATTAACTGGCAGCCCTCTCCTAAAGGCCAGCCTCCCAAGTTCAGCCGCTCTGACTAATGGCCATGAAGGTAACGAAGACAGAGGGGAGAAAAGGGAAGAGACCAGGGAAAAAAAAAAATAAAAAAAATTCACAAGAACAGCACAAATTGATTGTTTAATGTACCCTCTCGAGAGCCAATAATGAAATGTCTTAACCCTCTTCGTTTCTCTCTTGAAGCTTAATGTGTGTAACAGATTTCTGCGGTGATGGACGAGTCTATCACTTTGAAGGCATCATGTGAAAGTTACTCCATTAGCAGGGCTTTTCATTTTAAAGAACTTGTGCTAAAGGAAAAAAAAAAATCCATGTGGCATTATCTCCATTTAGGTTCAGACAGCCAACAAAGCATTGCAGGACTTGCCTCTCGAAGGCCCATTAAAGCTTGCCAGACTATAAAAAGCTAACTGGAGTTGTTTGCCTTTCAGCATAATGCTTCTGAGAAATGGGTCTGTCTTTTCAACAAGTTCCTCTCCGTGGCTTCTAATCCAAGCAGAGCTCCGATTATTAAACCACAAACGTGGTACGTACTGTTCGTACTGGTCGGGGAATTGGGCACTAGGCTTCGGAGCTTCTTTAAGGTGTTCACTGCCACATTCAGGTAGATGTTGCGACTGGTGCTACGTTCATAAGCCACCTTCTCTTCTGACAGAGCCTGCAAACAATGCAATTCATTACTACATTTTTTTTATTTTTTTTTCTACTATTGCTTTTGGAGAAAAGAAATGTTTGGCTCTTAAAATACAGAATCTCCAACTATGATAGCAAAAAAAAAAATTGCCTGTCAAGGAATCGAGTAATAAAGTGGAACATGGCACAGATATATACTGGTTCTGGGCCTGCTTAGGTGAGGAAGAGAAAAAAAAATAACTGTATTTTAAACAAACTGCTGGAAAGAAGAATTTTTGTGCAAAACCTTCCCAGACAGATTAACAATGCAGCTCTGGAACTGCCTAGGAAAGGCTGTTTTCCCCACTTTGGTGGCAGTGCAAGATCTTAACGGGCAAGAAAAGGAAGTTTGGCAAACGGTCACTCCTTGGATGTGACAGGAACATTCCCCCTAAGGAGCTGTGAAGGTGAAATCCCACAAAAGAAATCCTCGTGGCATCTGCTTTGGTTACAAAACACACCACACAGTGTCCCCTGTTTACCCAACTAACGTTAATGGCCAAAGTTTTCCAATAAAATGCGTTACTTTCAACTTTGCTTTTGGAAATCCTACAATACTATTCCCTACTGCTCGAGGGCTCCCTGCAGTCTGTAAGCAGCAAGTTTTACCAATTCTCCCTCTCTCAAACACTTACCTCTGCTGAACACTCAGATTCTGGGAGGTGTTTCCTGCTGTACCAGAGCAAAAGACCCTTTTGTTCAGCTTCACCACAGTGCACACTCCTCTAAGTCCCTCTTCTGGGGTTATTAAAAAGATCACAGAATCACAACCGTGCATGCTTTCCAAATGCAGTTCCAGATGGAACTGGAAACCCCCACTGGAATTACACTTCCTATTGTCCAGTCTGGAGCTATTGAATACCAGTCTCTACAGAATTGTAGGTGGGTAGGAGAGTTTTCTGGGTTTGCTGCGATTTTAGAAGGTCTCAGCCACGTTATTCTCTGCTGCAGACTTAATTCCTAAGAAGCAAGCACCAGTACAGACCTTGTCAAACGCTTCCTGGGAAGAGGAGCAGAATTTCAGGCACTCATCAATGAAGAGATTGAGATATCTTTGACGAATGTTCGTTGGGACCTTAGCACCAAATTCTGTGGGAATAACAGGCCTCTGTAAGCTGGTGCTCTAGAGATGAGACAGAGAGAGAGAGAAAGAGGCTATTCAAGGTTTGAGAAGTACGTTGCTTTGAGACTCTCACATTTCCTGCTGTGTTATTAATAGTGATGGGACTTCCTTTCTGAAAATCTGCCCAAAGCTAAACTCAACACACATCATTTTTTGGTACTAAAAATGCCACTTGAAACTTTTGTGCCACCTTCAGTATTTGAACTACTTCAAAAAAACCAACCATGTTTCATTACACAACTCCTCCAGCAGCCAAGGGTTCCCCGTGGCATTAGTCACAACATGACATTTACACACACAAGCATTCCAGACCACAAAAACAATGACATTGACATTAAGAGCTTCAAGATTAGCACGGTACCAAGCACCACGCTTTGAATTGGAGACGTGAACACATGACACCAGTTAGGAACGACAGACAGGGTTTTCTTTTCAGTGCTCTGGCTGTGAGGGGAGAATGGGAGGCCCAGTCCTGCCAGGCTGGCAGCCAACTAAATCATCACGCTCGCTGTGGGATTCCTCGAACTTTACTGCACTGGGTTTCTTCTTCCTTTTTAACGTCAATCATGATGCTCCTGGGAGGATTTCCCCCTTAAATTGAATGACAATCTCTTCACGCATAAAAACCACATGTTGGACTGAGTTACAACCTACCCCTGCAGTTTTCTATTTAACATCAGTTTATCCCCCAAATCACACAATTTGCCTCTTTTCTGGAGAAGAAACTGCACGTTCACCTCTAAAGCACCCTATTGTTTTCTCAGTCTTTCTCCATCCCACCTGAGAGACAACCATAAACCAAACCATCTGCTGCAATCTGTAATGAGAACAGCTCTACAGAAGAGATGAGCACATTCCAAGTGGAGCAACTGGTCCTATCTCCGTGGGAAAAGCACTCATTTTCCTTGTGAGACTTCCACTTTGACACCCTGTTCAAGGGGATTTGCTCTTTTTCATTACATATAGATTTTTTTTCTCAACTTCCAATATGATACCCTTCAGCACCTCTGTAACACTGGTAAATATTTTATCCTTACAGTGGTTTCTTTCATTTTTAGCAGCTTCAAGTTTTATGTTACCACGGTGGCTTTTTGGATAGGGAAGGAAGAAAACAACTTTTTTCACTCCTACAGAATTAATCAAAGTATGTTATGACTTATATTGACACAAGATATCATCAATAAAGATATCTTTAATCAGTTCCTGGCACTAAGCACATTCCTTGCCATCCACTCCAGCAAACAGCTTCTTATGCCATCCACAGGCTGCTGCCTGAGGAACTCTAATCTGAATTGTCTGAGTGACGTGTTCCCCAGTGCTCATGGGGAAAGGAGAGACTTCTTTGATAAGGAACTCATAGCAGAAGTACTCAATGGCTGGGCAGGAATCCCAGGGGAAAAATAAAAAATAAAAAAAAAATTTAAAAGAGAGAGTGTTTTCCCTAAACTTTAACAGCAGCATGAAGTTTCAACGAGCAGATTTTAACTAGATAGGTAACTGTGGAACATTATTCATAACCACCCTCCTCAGTACAGCCCACAAAGCCTGGGAAGGCTGTTAATCCAGCCGTGCCTTTTGAACACGAGAGGCTCCAAGTCCCTGACACAAACAGCTCCACACCTAGCCAGACAGCACAACAGAATGCTCCAACTGGAGATGAGTGATCAATATTCAAAGAGATCACAGCAGCACTTAAGTATTTCTCTCTTTTTAAAGCTCATACCCCTCAAGCGTTTAATTTTTCATATGAAGCTATCGAGGAAAAACCACAGGAAGAAACAAACCCATTTAATCAACCCAGTCAAAACGCCGCTCTTCAGAGAGCGCTAAGTTGGGCGCAGTGTGGTTAAACTTACCACCCTCCACGGGCAATGACCGGAAAGATTTCACATTTCTCTTACCTGTAAGGAGGGAACATGTGCTACCCTTTTCGGCACGATGGTGCTGGTGGTCTTGGAAGCCATCCCAGCTAAGGTGCAAGCCTTCAGAGAAAGGGTGGGTGCTTCCGAGTCATTGGAAGGTGTGACACTCCTGCCAGCAACAGTTGTCTTACTACTCATGAGGTCTGCAAGAAACAGAAAACATATTTAGGTAGAAATCCTACCACTGGGCTTCGAGTTGCCAGAATGAACTTACTCTAAAAGGCCCATGCTGCAAGCTGTGATTTTTTTCAAATGGAAGCTTCCAAAGGGATACAAATTGGGTAATTTTACCACCTTCCAGGCAAGGATGAAGGAACCTTCTGCCAGGAAACGTGCCTCATCTCTGTTTGTTTTGGGGTAACTGAGTCAGCAGAGTTTAAAGAGGTAACTCCGTCAGCTGCAGTGCACTAACTGCCCATCACGTCAGCTCTGACTACACAGGGACAGCAATGAGCACTAATTAGTACCTCCCTCCTGTTCCTGCCACCTCTGAAGGCTTAAATGCAAGAGCAAGTGAGGAGTAAACACACTTCAAGGAAGAAACAAGAAAAGAACAGGCTGAAGGGAGAGAGGCTGGGTACAGAGGAATGGGGCTGTAGGTCTAGTGTGTTGCTTTTCAGAACAGGACAGAATTTCTCAGGGGAAAGACCTTCCACTGGTCACTATCAGCAAAGATTCAAGTCACGGCCAGTGCTACACAGCTCCTGATAGTTTCACATCTGCTCAGGAGAAATCTAAACAGCAGCAGCGTCTTTTAACAGGGAGGAGGACAGGACAGAGATCACAAATAACACCGCTGGCTTACTTTGTTTGGCTGCTGCGGAAAGGGCTACATTTGGCACGTGAGCAATCCTCTTCTTTTCTCCTGGTAAAGAAAGAGAGGCCTTTTGAACGGCCACAGCCAGCTGTGCCGCCTGCTGCTGAGCCAGCTGGATCCTCTGGTAACACACCTCCTGAGCCGTGGGGGGACGGTACGGCCGGATTACGGGCTTGCTCGGGACCTCTGCCTGCACAGAGAAAAGCATTTTAGAGCCAGCACGCTCACCTACTCAATCCCCACCCTCTGGCTCCCATTCACCCAAGAAAGGTCTCTTTCCTCAACTCCACTCTGGTAGCAAATACAGGTTTTTGAGAGAAGAAGATCCTAACCGTCTTCCAGAACAAAATATTTTAAGTCACTCACTAAAAAACATGACATTAATGATTCAGCCTCTAGCAAGGCCTCCCAGCACTCTGGCATGTTCCTAAATTGGTGGGTGGTATGTGAAGTGCTTGTTTAATGGTATGATGTTCCCATCACTGTGCGTAAACCACTTCTGGGTTCTGTCAAATCTTCTCAGCTCTGCAGTCTTACACTAGAAAACAAATCATAGAATCACAGAATCCCAGACTGGTTTGGGTGGGAAGGGACCTTAAAGCTCATCCAGTCCCAACCCCCCTGCCAGCAGCAGGGACACCTTCCACTAGACCAGGTTGCTCAAAGCCTCATCCAGCCTGGCCGAGAACACTTCCAGGGAGGAGCAGCCACAGCTTCTCTGAGCAACCTGTAAATTAGCCCTGTGCTGCCTACTGCGTGCTTCTTCAGTTTATACTGCAATGAAAAAAGTGACCAACTATTCTCCATTCCCCTTTGCTACACAACAGTGAGTTTCACAGCTCTCCCCTCCCTGTCTTTCCCAGTGCTGCCTACCCTTGTGTTACCGCAGCTCCGCACCTCTCAGCAGCCTTGTTTCAGGTCTCTAGTTCCCATAGCTGCTTAGAAGTCACACACATATGTATTTATGGGATTAGAGCATTACCTAAACTGAGCTCTGAATTTTAAACAGGCTCTGCCTCTGCCTTCCTCTGGAGGCATTTCACTGCTCCAGCCGTTCCTGGCACAAACAAGTTACACACACACTTTCTTTGATGTCCAAATTCAGGTTGCGGGAAAGGTGCCAGAAATTATGTCAGCAAAGAAAGAAGTTTTCTAGCAGCAGAAGTAAAAGAGAAGTAGCAGCAGTACAAACTTCTCCACACTACTTAAAAACCTTTGAAATCTAAGAAACAGGCCTTCCCTCCTGAGATGTCTTCAGAGAAGGGCGCGCTCTGGGTAACGTGGCGTTTCTGAGACCGCAAATTGGGGGCAAACTGGCACCTCCTGCATTCCTGGTCTCTGATGGATACCAAACTGAGTGCAGTCAGCCATTAAATGATAATTACAGACTTCCAAGCAGGACAGGACACTCATTTTCTACCTCACCTTCAATTCCTTTGGCCCACCATTTCCCCCAACAACTAAACTAGAACTCAGCTCCCTCCCCTTCTGCTCGCTCAGTCCTTGAGCTGTAAATCACAAGCAAGACTGAGCAAATACTCGACTTGGAGGGACACAAAGCACAAGTCTCAACTCTCCACATAAAAGCAGCAGTTCAGGTCTTACAGCACCTCCTGAACAGACTTGGCAGCAGCAGCGCCGAGCTGAGATATTCCAGGGAACGCACGTCCCGGTGTGTACGGACGGCAGCTGCTGCTGAGCACACACCACATCAGCTCTGTTTGCCCAGGCAATGGCTGTGCTGAGGTTCACATCTTTGGAAAGCATTTTGGGATCAGCTGTCACATTAAGAAAACGTATTTAAAGATTTGTACATGTCTAAAAGGCACCTATTTGCAATAAATATTTGAGTTAATGAATTTCCAAGCCATTTGCTTCAGCCTCTTATCTCTTCACTTTGGAAGGAAGGGCCCTTATCAAAGCACATGAACTAACTGAAGATATGGAGTTAAATAAAAGGTGTTGCATTGACCTCAGGGCTTCAAATTATTAAAAACAAAGAAATCTTTTCTAGGCAGAGAGGAAAGGGAGAACAATTAATTTTGGACCACCCAGGTCCAATCAGTGTGTAAGTCTCCACTTTTATCCTGCTGGAACATAAAACTGACTAATCTGTGCTGAGCACCTGGAGGGAAACACATTAAACCTTCAGAGAAAACATGAATTAAAATCCCAGTGAGAAAGAAATTGTTAAAAAATCAGAATGTCTTCCTGGTCTATTTTTTTTTTTTTTTTATTCTTCTCCCCTGTATTTTCACAATTGTGAAAAGAAGATCACCAAACAAGATATTGTTGATATCTTGGCTGATCCAGAACAGATATAAGGTAATGGTTTTAAAGATCTGACAAAACTCCTACAGCTATCTTTTAGATCCACAAGACAAAGAAAAGTATCATCAGACACTGTCTGACCTTGAGTGCAGCTAATTTTTATCTAAGTGATTGAATTAAGCTATACTGTAGAAAAATTAACACGTCAAGCTATCCCAGGGAGTTACAAGGCGTAAAAATCCATTTACAAGGAGCAGAAATCCTTTCCAGTACCTGAAGGGGCTCCAGGAAGGCGGGGGAGGGACTTTTCATAAGGGCAGTTAGTGACAGAACAAGGGGTGATGGCTTGAAAGTGGCAGAGGGGAGATGGAGCTGAGATGTGAGGAAGAAATTCTTTGGTGTGAGGGTGGTGAGACAGTGTCCCAGGTTGTCCAGAGAAGCTGTGGCTGCTCCTCCCTGGAAGTGTTCTCGGCCAGGTTGGATGAGGCTTTGAGCAACCTGGTCTAGTGGAAGGTGTCCCTGCTGCTGGCAGGGGGGTTGGGACTGGATGAGCTTTGAGGTCCCTCCCAACCCAAACCAGTCTGGGATTCTGTGATACTCCTTCACAGCTTACCCCTGGTTTTATGAAAGTTCATTGGAGTTTTGCTGCCATTTGTAACAGCCTGACCACGTTTTTCACAAATCAGAAAGAGAAGGAACGAAATCTGACACAGCCGGATCTCAGCGCAAACCACTCACACGCTGCTGCCCGAACATTATATTCCAGTGTTGTAACAGGACAGAAAATCCTCACTTTAGACAATCTGAACTCTTGTTCCTAGAAGCTTCACTTACATTTCCTTGTTTGACAAGATGAGAGATCCTTCTTTTTTGGCCAGGAAACAAGGTAGTTAAATTATCTTCTGTCTTTTCTTCATTTCCTTCCTCTCTGGATAGCTGGAAAAAAAAAAAATAAAAATAACAAGTTTCCAAAACCAAATAGACTTGAAGAGAGATCTGAAAAGTCTCCTTTTTGGATTAACAGAAAGTCCTTGCAGGTGGCAGGTGAGAACAACATGTGGTCAGCTGCTGATCTACCAAAACAAATCTTGTTTTGAACCCAAGAGCCACCAGTGAAGCCAACGAAGAGTTCCCACCCAGTGTGTGCACTAGGCAGCTTTGCAGGGTTCAGGATGGCACCTACCCACCATGAGAGACCTGAACACCCTTCTCACCTTTCATGGCATTCTTAAAATCCAGATGGTTTGGGTTTTAGGGGGTTTTTTTGTAAGAACTTGGGAGCTGACTCATTTCTGCCCCTGTACAACGTGCTGCCAGAGCAGGTCCTGAACACCTGCTCGACACCAAACCACAGGGACCCCCACACCACATTTAGGGAAGTTTTTCTCTGCAGTTTTGTCCACAGCTGTATCTGCAGAAAGGCTGCAGTGACAAATCCCCAGGTGACACGTCTGTATAGTCAGAAACCCAGGAGGAAGTACCAGTACCTCTCCAGTTAAAGCTATTTCTGAGCTAAACCTCAGACTTGCTCCTGGAGTTGGGGGGCCTGGGAGAAAGATGAAAAAAAAACAAACCAACCCCACTTAAAAACTTCCTTGAATTTGACTCAGCTGTTCATTTACACAAAAGACACTTCACAAAGTGAAGCTGCTCTCCGCTTCATCTTGCTCTCAGTTTTCCAACACAACCCTGGCAAAGCTCTGAGCAGAGATGAGCCTCACAAGCTCTTAGAAACCCAGTGACAGAGCTGAAAGCTGGATTTAGAGATGAGCTCAGGCTCTGCTCAGGCTGAGCTTGGGTTCATCACCACAAGGGCATCCTGGATGAGCACTCCACACTGAATCACTCCGCTCTCTAGGAACTCAGCAGGTTTGTTAATTCAGTTACAATGCTAATAAACTCTCTCTCACAAAGCAATCCCTCCCAGTGGAAAAGTACCACACCGCCCACACATACCTTCCTCCGGACTAGCACGTTACTGAGACCACACAACACGGGATCCATCATAAAATTACTCCAACAACAACAACAAAAATTCCCTGTGACTGATCCCACGCACCAGAAACACAGCAGGGAAGCAGGTACCTACTTAGAAACATCCACCTCACAAAGAAGGACCTGTCTGCTTGTTCCTCCCTTTCCAAAACAGGGGGAAAATTGAATTTTAGTGCAGGGATAAAAGGTAAAACACATGCAAAGGAGACACAGAGGGCTGGTGACAGTGGAACACGGCCACTCCACGCTGGAGTTAACTGGTTGCAGTGAGTGGCAGCCCCTGGTCCAGCATTTTCTGAATTCAGCCCATTTGGAATCATTCTGTATTTGGAAAACTCTCAATGGATTCGTTTTTCCCACTATAGATTGCATTGCCCTTATACTATTTTCATTTAAAGCAAGCAATTTGAAGAAAAAAAAAAAAAAAAAGCCAAAAATAAAGTGTTCATTCCTAACTGGGAGTTACACTAAACACTGAGGGAAGAAAGGTGACTTTTAAACAAGCAAAATCAAGCAATGCTTAATAGTTCAGAAGAAAATCCTTACACTCAACTGCTTTACACAGTTTCTTCTACCAAGGTATTTCGTACGAGTGTAAAAAAAGGACTTCTCAGCAACAGAGACGTCTCTGGGAACAGATCAGGGATGTTATTGCAACAGAGAGTTCAGCAAAAAGCTTTAATAATCCAGTAACTCTTGTCAAAGGATGAGCTCTGCTCCCCACGCTGCAGATCCCACCTCACTTCGTCCTCCAGTACAGATACTCCTGAATGGAAGAATTTTGTTCACAGCCACTTCACCCAGCCTGGAAACCAGCACCAATTCCTGATCCCTGCCATTTTTAGAATAAAAGTCAAGAACCAACCACACCAGGAGAAACTGGATTTCCTGCTGCACACACCCTGCCACTCTTTCAGATCAATAATCCCAGAGGGCTGGAGAGCAGCCCCGCAGAGAGGGACCT